GTAAGGAGCAGGCACAGGGAGTGGGGAGGCAGGCGGTAACTGTGGCTGTGACTGGACAGACGGCGGACACTCTAAAGCGAGAGGAGAACAAGGAGGAGGAGGCTGACCAAGAACCTGCTGAAGGAGCGGAACGAAGTACGGCCGTGGCCGTGCAGCAACTCCCGAACCAGCAGAGACACCAGCGGCAGGGACCTCAGGACCAGCAGAAGCTCCACTCGCCGGGTCCTCCACTCCAGCAGCAGTAGCAGCACCTCCAGCAGCACCAGCAGCACCTCCAGCACCAGGGTCCGCAGCACCTCCAGCACCAGGGTCCGCAGCACCCGCAGTAGCTCCAACGCCCGGGTCCTCAGTACGAGCAGCACCTCCAGCAGCACTGCCAGTAGCAGCAGCACCTCCAGCACCAGGGTCCGCAGCACCCGTAGCAGCGTCAACTCCGGGGACCCCAGCACTAGCAGCTCCACTCCGGAGACTGATGTGCCGAGCGTACCACTCTCGAAGGTGTGGGGAAGAGGGCGGCTCCCGCCGTGGTGGGGAAACACGAGTACCATCTCCAGTAGCACCACGAGCCCGAGACGCACCCTGCCGGAGGCTGCAGTACCATGAGTACCACTCACGTAGCTGCTGCGAAGAGGGAGGTCCTCCAGGCGCCTCACAGTCAACTGCAACACCACCAGGCTCAGCACCCCCAGACTCAGCACCCCCAAGCTCAGCACCCCCAGTCTCAGCACCCCCAGTCTCAGCACCCCCAGGCTCAGCACCCCCAGTCTCAGCACCCCCAGACTCAGCACCCCTAGGCTCCGCCCGCGCAGGCTCCGCACGCTCAGGCTCCGCACGCTCAGGCTCAGCACCTCTAGCAGGACGCGAGTCGACAGCTACCTCGGCAGGCTCAACCGGGTCTACCTGAGAGATACCTGAGGGAGCGGCACCCTGAGGGGGAAGGGGGTCTACCACTGCAGCACCTGGCGCGAGGAAGAGAGGCGGGGGAGGGAGCGGGGCAGTGCGGTAGGGGAAGAGGCGGTAGAAGGGCACGGACTCGTCAAAAGTGACGTCCTGAGAGGGGAAGACGCGGTGCGAGGCGGGGTGGTAAAACTGCCAGCCAGACGCATCCGGGACAAAGCCAAGAAAGACACAGGGAGCAGTGCGGGAGGAGAGCTTGTCCGCAGACGTGTCGCGAACAAAAGCTCGGGATCCCCAGACACGGAAGCGTGACGCATCGCCAACCTCCCCCGTCCACAGTAGTGTGGGCGAGGTCTCCGGAGCGGAGACACGGGGCCGGAGGTTGAGCTGATGCGCAGCGTACCGGACCGCAAACGGCCACAGAAAGTGGGGGGCAGCCGCGTGGACTAAGGAGGTACGAGCGACCTCCATGATCAAGCCAATGCGGCGCTCAGCAACCCCATTCTGCTGTGGAGAGGCCGGAAGCGTGAACGACTGGTGAATGCCGTGCTCTGCACAGTAGGCTGCCAAGAGGTCGGAGGAGAACTCGCCACCTCTGTCAGAGTGCAAGCGCAGGACAGGAAACTCCGAGCGAAAACGCTCCCGCAGCTGAAGACGTGCTCTGCTGATCCAAGGGATCAGAACATCAGGGACTTCACCCTTGGTGCGCAAGGGGAAGACCGTGGTGTAGCGCGAGTAGTCGTCAACGACGATCAAGAAGTACCTCTCCTGTCCCTGACCACGGACGCGGGCTGGGCCCCACACGTCCATGTGGAGCGTCTGCAAAGGAGCAGTCGTCGGGGGGAACGAGGAGGAGTGAGGGGCAGCGCGCTGCCGCCCCTCGACACAGGGAAGACAAGGAGGAGCAAGGGAGGGTGGGAGGGGAGGGAGTACACGAGGAAGACCAGAGACAAGATACCGGGAGTGCATGCCCTGAAGGCGCTGCACTGACGGGTGACCAAGTCGGTGGTGCCAGAGCACAGTCTTGTGCGCTAGAGAGCGACACGAGCAGGGGGCAGACAGCTGACTTGACGCAGACGCAGACGCACACGCCGCTACCTGAGGGGACTCAGTGGTCAGTGTGTACAGGTCCGACCCCGGCTGCCGAGTAAAGGTAGCCAGGTGACGGCCCGTCCGAGCACACGTGCAGTGTGTCACACGCTCGTAGGCAGGGGTGAACTGGTGAACACCCCCATCCTGAAGCGCACAACCCGCCACCAAGTTCGTAGAGAACGAGGGGAGGTGGAGACCTGACAGTGTGCCCGACGGGACAGCAGGACAAGGAAGGACAGTGGAGGAGGTCGCAATGACCGGACCCCCAGAGGGGTCAGCGAGCGAGACAGCGACTGGTCGAGCAAGGGGCTCAAGAGCAGTGCGGTCACGAAAGAAACAGCGCGAAGCGCCTGAGTCTAGAGTGAAGGTGTGCAGTGCCTCAGTGGACTCAGTAGTACCTGGGGTGGCGGACACACAAGCACCTAGAGCAGTAGCCTCACGAGCACCTGGGGCAGCAGACACGCAAGCACCTAGGGCTGCAGCCTCACTCGTGCGGATGCCTGGGTCAGGCGGAACACACAGGTACTGGTCCTCCTCTCCACTAATAGTCAATGCATACATGGCTTTGAGAATAACATCAAAATCAAGAGCATAGATATCGATATCCTTCTTGAGGAGATCAGCCCACTGAGGGAGCTCAGGAGCGTAAGGAAACTGAGCACGCCACGCGTCATCTAGGCGAGAGAAGCAGCGCTGCGCAGTGTGCGCCCTCCCGCACGTCTGTCCCTTGCGGCGACCAGTGCGGATGACGTACGTGCAGCTAAGGCTACCCCCCCCACCCCCGTGCTGTAAGTACCACTCACGAAGCTCCTGGGAGGACTGAGGGTGCTGCGCGCTCTGGCCAGTGCCAGAGCCTCCACGACCACCACCGCCGCCTCCACCACGACCACCACCGCCTCTGCCGCCTCCACGTCCACTGCCGCCACCACCACCGCCCCCACCCCGGCCACCTCCGCCGCCGCTGCCTCCACCACCCCCACCGCTGCCACTAGCCCCTCCAGCCCCGCCACCACCCCCACCGCCGCCACCACCCCCACCACCGCCTCCCCCGCCGTCACCCCCACCGCCCTTGCCTCCCCTGCCCTTGCCGCTGCGGCGTCCGCTAGGAGCGGACGCAGAGCCGACCTGCTCAGCACCAAGGAGGTCGACAGCAGCAGCAGAGGCGACAGAGGGGAGTAGGGGGGAGGGGGAACACCCCTCGAAGAAAGGGGTGCGGGGGTCGCCACGAGAGGCACCTACAGCTACAATACTCTTCTCAGCTGCAAGTAGTTCCTTCTCTAGGGCGGTAATGGTGAGCTCAGTGGGGCAGCGAGCTAGGAAGTGGTCCCTGACTGTACGCAGAGTGTCAGGGAGGCGGGTGACTAGGTGGTAGAGAGTGAGCCAGAGCGGGGGAGGGTTGGAGGCAAGAAACTCAGCGGGCATGGCTGCACGGAAGCGGGCATCACTAGTGCGGAGGTGAGTGATGAGGTCAGCGACTGTCTGGAAGGCGGACAGGTCGGGGAACAGGTAGGGAAGCGAGAGGCGGCCTAGTGCAGCTGAGGCCGGGGAGGAGTAGCGCGCAACTACAGCAGTGTACAGGGCGTGCGCAGTCTGATGCTGGCCAAAGTGCTCGCGCTCGTCTACTGGCAGGGAGTTGCGAATAGCAAAGCGGGCGTGGGCATCGCGAGTCTGCCACTGTGAGCGAGCAGTAGCAGCAGCAGTAGTAGCAGGAGTAGGGACTGTGCCTAGTGCGTGATCGTACAGCGAGATATCCTCTCTGGCAGTGGGCTGGAGGAACAGATGCAGATCATCGAGCCAGGTCTCAAACTTAATCGGGCGGCCCTCAGTATCGAACGAGAGAACTGGAGGGCTAGCCATAGCTGAAGTAGCAGTAGCAAAAGTAGCAGTAGCAGTAGCAGCAGCAGCAGCAGTAGCAGCAGCAGCAGCAGTAGCAGCAGCAGTAGCAGTAGCAGTAGCAGTGGCAGTAGTAGTAGCAGTTCAGTACTGGTGCTGCTGCTCAGGTAAGGAGGGCGCGGCTCGGCTAGGACGGCGCGGCTCGGCTAGGGCGGCGCGGCTCGGCTAGGGCGGCGCGGTTCGGGTCGGGTCGCGCAGCGAGGCTCGGCCGTAGAGGGGCGAGCGTGGGAGGGGCCGTGAGAGGCAAGCGCGGGGGGGCCGTTCGGGGGCCGGTCGGTGCTAGCGCGAGGCCATTCGGGGCCGTAGGAGGCTAGCGCGGGGCCTTAAGGGGCCGTGGGAGGCTAGCGCGGGGCCTGAAGGGGCCGTGGGAGGCTAGCGCGGGGCCTGACGGGGCCGTGGGAGGCTAGCGCGGGGCCTGAAGGGGCCGTGGGAGGCTAGCGCGGGGCCTTACGGGGCCGAGAGAGGCCGTAAGGGGCGACGCGAGGGGCCGTGAGGGGCCTGAAGGGGCGACGCTAGGAACGAGGCGCACGAGGGCGCTAGGAAAAAGGCGGCGCACGAGGGCGCGGCTAGCGGAAACGGTGGGCTCTAATGTTCCGGTCCTAGGTGGAACCTAGGCTCGTAATACCATGTCAGAATGAGAAACAGGAATGGTTGTGACTAGCAGGAACAACAGTACAAATATGAAACCCTAATCTGGTGTACCCCCTAAGGTGTAACCCACTACAGCCTAGAACCACATAAACATATAATGTTTGACAATATGTAATCCTGCATGTGAACTGGCCTTGTGGCCTTGAACTTGTGCTCGGAATGTGTGGTGACTTTGTGATCCACCCTGAGCTTGCTTTGCTTTGCTTGACTGGTCTTGTGACCCCTTGTTCTCCCCCACTTTGCCTATGGGGGTGTGTCAGATTTATATGACATAGCTACTGTAGGCTATAGTGGGGTAGCACATATGGGGTACAGCTTTCTAGGGTTTGTACTTGTACCCAACTTTCCCTTAGTCATTTCATTCTCGTTTCAGTTTTCTCAAGGACCTCATCTCTCACCTACGCACTAGTGACGCTCGCCTTCGTGCCACCCTTCCAGCCGAGTTCCTCATAGAGAACCGCCCCCCGATGTACTTTACTCTCTACTTCCTCATCACCCGCCTCCCTGACACTCTTCGCTCAGTCAGGGACCACTTCCTCGCCCTTGACCCCCATTCTCTCACCGTCGACGACCCCGAGAAGCACCTCCTCGCAGCAGAGAAGAACATCCTCGCTGTAGGTGCTGCTCGCGGTACTCCTCGCTCTCCCCTCTTTGAGGGGTGCTCCCCCTCCCCTCTTACCCCCTCCTACGCCTCCGCAGCTACTGCTCTTGACTACCTTGGTGCTGAGGAGGTCGGGGCTGCTTCCGCTCCTAGTGGGAAGCGCCGCAGCGGCAGGGGCGGCAAGGGTGGCAGGGGAGGTGGGGGTGGCGGTGGGGGTGGCGGTGGAGGGGGCGGTGGTGCAGGCGGCGGGGGAGGTGGAGGTGGTGGGGGTGGTCGTGGGGGTGGAGGTGGTGGAGGTGGTTTTGGGGGCGGCGGAGGCACTGGGAGCAGTGGAGGTGGCAGCGGTGGTGGTGGGGGAGGAGGGAGCGGTAGTGGCAGTGGTGGTCAGGGGCAGCAGCAGCAGCAGCAGCAGCGTCAGCGCCAGACCCACACTTCCCAGCAGCTTCTTGACTGGTATGCTGGGCGTGGGGCTTTTGGGGGTCCTGGTCGCTGCCCCTACGCTATTCCTGGTCCCACAGGTCCCCACGCTGGTCGCCAGTGCATTGGGTTTCACACTGAGCAGCGTTGCTTCGCTCGGTTTAGCGATGCCTGGCGCGTCAAGTTTCTTGATGCTCCTGAGTTCCCCAACTGGGCAGAGCTGCTTAGGCGTGATGTACCTATCTTTGATCTTGACTATGAGGCTATTCTTGCTGCCATGTATGCATTGACTGTTAGTGCTGAGGGTGACTGCTACTTGTGTGTGCCGCCGGATCCTGGTATAGCCCCTGCAGCACTAGGTGCGTGTTAGTCTGCTCCCCCTGGTACTGCGCCTGCACAGGCCTTGCACACCTTTACACTTGACTCTGGTGCTTCGCGCTGATTCTTTCGTAACGGTACCACAGTCACTCCCCTCCCTGCACCTGTTCCTATCTCACTGGCTGACCCCTCTGGGGGCCCGGTGCTTGCACGGTCTTCCACTGTGCTTCCTTGTCCGGCGGTCCCGTCTGGTGAGCTGTTTGGTCTCCACCTCCCCTCGTTCTCTACGAACTTGGTGAGCAACGCTATCCTCCAGGATGCGGGTGTAGACACCTTCACCCTGGCCAGCAGCGTGTGGCGATCTGCACGTGCTCCCAGACCGGCCGCCACCTGGCCACGTTCACCCGTGCGCCAGGGTCCAGTCTGTACACCCTCACCACTGCGTCACGCTCCCCCCCTTTGTCTCCCCAGCTGCATGCGTCTACTCAGGCAGCTACCCAGTGTGAGTGTCGTCGGTTGTCTCACGACACTCTCCTATGGCACCACCGCCTGGGCCACCCCTCCTTGCCTCGCCTTCGTAGCATGCACTCTCGCTTTCTGGTCTCTGGTCTTCACAGGTCTCTGCCTGCCCTCCCTCCCTCGCTTGCGCCGCCCTGCATTCCTTGCGTCAAGGGGCGGCAACGCACTGCTCCTCAGTTCTCCTCGTTCCATCCCACAGAGGCTCCACTGCAGACTCTCCACCTGGACGTGTGGGGACCAGCCCGCGTCCGTGGACACGGCCACGAGCGGTACTTCCTGCTGGTTGTCGACGACTACACGCGCTACACCACGGTCTTCCCCTTGCAGAGCAAGGGGGATGTCCCTGATAATTTGATCCCCTGGATTTGCGCTACTCGTCTCCAGCTCCTCGAGCGGTTCCAGTCGGACTTTCCTGTCCTGCGTCTGCACTCTGACAGAGGTGGTGAGTTCTCCTCAGACCTCTTGGCAGCCTTCTGTGCGGAGCACGGCATCCGCCAGACTTTCACGCTTCCGGCCTCTCCGCAGCAGAATGGGGTTGCTGAGCGCCGCATTGGCTTGGTCATGGAGGTCGCTCGTACCTCCATGATCCATGCGGCTTCCCCTCATTTTATGTGGCCGTTTGCGGTCCGGTACGCCGCGCATCAGCTCAACATTTGGCCTCGTGTCTCCTTGCCGGAGACCTCGCCCACACTGCCGTGGATGGGGAAGGTTGGCGACGCGTCACGTTTCCGGGTCTGGGGTGCTCGTGCCTTTGTTCGCGATACCACCGCGGACAAGCTCTCCCCTCGCGCCCTTCCTTGCGTCTTCCTTGGCTTTGTCCCTGACGCGCGTGGCTGGCAGTTTGACGACCCCGCCTCGCGCTGTGTCTTAGCGTCCCAGGATGTTACCTTTGACGAGTCTGTCTCCTTTTAGTGCCTCTTCCCCTACCGCTCAGCTCCTCGCCCTCTCCCGCCGCTCTTTCTTGCCCCAGGTCCTCCCCAGGTAGACCCCCTCCCCGCGCCAGGTCCTACTCCTTCAGGTGTTTCTCAGGTAGACCCTCCCGTCCCTGCGCCTGTTGAGGTCACTGGTGACTCCGGTCCTGCTGGCGGTGGCGCTGTCCCTGGGGGTGCGGAGCTTGGGGGTGCGTAGCATGGGGGTGCTGAGTCTGGGGGCACTGGGCGTGAGGGGCCTTAGGGTACGGAGCCTGGAGGTCCTGAGCCTGGGGGTGCTGCGTCTGGGGGTGCTGCGTCTGGGGGTGCTGCGTCTGGGGGTGCTGAGCCTGCGTGTGCGGAGCCTGGGGGTGCTGAGTCTGGGGGTGAGTCGCCTGAGGGTTCTGAGACTGCTGTTACGCGGTCTCCTTGGAGTAGCCGTCTTCGTCCGCGTGTGCCTCTCACCTCCCAGCAGCTGCACGACTGGTACGGTCGCCGTCAGCGTCGCGCTTCTGCACCTCAGGGCTCTACTGCTGGGGGTTCTTCTGCTGGCGTCACTGGAGCTGGGAGTGGTGCTGGTCCTTTGCCTGCTAGAGGTGCTGGTGTCGCTGGTCCCGGAGGTGCTCGTACTGGGTGTACTGGAACTGCTGGGGCTGACGATGGTGTGTCTGAGGGTGTTGCTGCTGGTGGCACTGCGGTTGGAGACCCTCGGACTGGAGGTGCCGGTTCTGGGGGTGCTGCACCAGGTGGGGCTGGTGCTGAGGGTTCTGGAGCTGCTCGAGGTGCTGGAGCTGCTGAGGGTACTGGAGCTGCTGGAGGTGCTGGAGCTGCTGAGGGTACTGGAGCTGCTGGAGGTGCTGGAGCTGCTGAGGGTAATGGAGCTGCTGGAGGTGCTGGAGCTGCTGAAGGTGCTGGAGCTGCTGAGGGTGATGGAGCTGCTGGAGGTGCTGGAGCTGCTGAGGGTGCTGGAGCTGCTGGTGCTGGTGGCACTGCACAGCCGTGCCTGACTACGTGCTTCGCCAGGTTCTTAGCCTCCCGTCGTCTACTGGTCTTCCGTTACAGCCTGGCTCACCTCTGCCTGCTCCTTCTCCTTACGCTGAGCTGACAAGGGGCCTTGCTGAGCGTCGTGAGCCTGCGTCGCGTCCTGTCTTGCTTGTCAGTTCTGGTTGTTCCAGTCGTCGTGTTCCTCGTTAGCGTCAGCCGGCTGTCCCCGGCCCTTCCCTTGTCGTCCGACGTCCTTCCTCTCCGCCGCCACGTGTTCACCTGCCGTCTCCGCCTGCGTCCTCTCTACCTGTCGTTGCTGACCCTGAATCTGGCCGGTTTCGTGCTGAGCACCCTACTGTCACGCGTCTGCTAGCCAGTGTTGTCGCCGACCCGTCGTTTGAGTCTGGTGCTGCGTCTGCCTTAGTCGCTGAGCTTGTTGACTTTGCTGCTACCTGTCGTCTAGACTACGCCGCTAGTCTTGTTACTGAGTCTGAGTCTGTCTGTCCTCCGTCCGTCAGAGGTGAGTGTGCTCTTGGCACGGACGTCCTTGAGGACAGGCAGGAGGACCTTGAGTGTCTTGCAGCCGCTACGCCTCATCTCGTGGCCATGCTGCTTGCCCCTGAGGGAGACCCAGATGCACCAGACATCCCAACTCCGCGATCGTACGCTGAGGCGATCGAGGGTCCCTACTCCTCTCAGTGGCAGACAGCCATGGACGTAGAGATGGCATCCTGGAAGTCCACAGGCACCTACGTCGACGAGGTTCCCCCTCCTGGGGCGAACATCGTCAGCGGCATGTGGATTTTCAGGGTGAAGCGGCCGCCAGGTTCTCCGTCTGTCTTCAAGGCTCGTTACGTTGCTCGAGGCTTCTGTCAGCGAGAGGGAGTTGACTTGTTCCAGACCTTCTCCCCCACCCCAAAGATGACTACTCTTCGGGTACTGCTGCACGTTGCCGCTCAACGTGACTACGAGCTTCACTCTCTTGACTTCAGCACATCTTTCTTACATGGCAGCCTGCACGAGGAGATCTAGCTGCGCCGTCCACCTGGCTTCACTGGGTCGTTCCCTCCTGGTACCCAGTGGAGCCTCGGACGGCCAGTCTACGGTCCCCGCCATGCGCCACATGAGTGGCACGACACAATGAGGACGACTCTTGCGGCTGTTGGGTTTGCCCCGTCGACTACTGACCCGTCGCTGTTTCTGCGCACCTACACTTTGCTGCCGCCGTTCTACATCCTCGTGTACGTCGACGACTTGGTCTTTGCCATTGCTGACACTGAGGCTCTCGCCCTGGTGAAGTCGGAGCTGCAGAAGAGGCACACGTTCACAGACCTGGGTGAGCTGCGCAGCTACCTTGGCTTCCAGGTCACCCGGGACAGAGCACGGCGCACCATCACACTGACTCAGTCACATATGGTACAGCAGGTCCTTCAATGCTTTGGCTTCACCTGGTCCTCCGCATAGGCCACTCCTCTGGCTACAGGTCACTCGCTCTCAGCTCCACCTTTGGACAAGTCCGTAGAGCCGAGTGGTCCTTTCCCAGAGCTAGAGGGCTGCCTCATGTACCTGATGACCTGCACTCGTCCTGACCTTGCGTACCCTCTTGGCCTTCTGGCTCGCTACAAGGCTCCTGGTCGTCACCAAAAGGTGCACATGGATGCTGCTAAGAGGGTACTACGCTACTTGTGCAGTACATCGGGCATGGGGCTCGTGCTTGGAGGACGGGGTGACGTTGTCCTCACTGGTCACTCGGACGCCTCTTGGGTTGACGACCAGGCTACGCAGCGGTTGTCACAGGGTTACACCTTCAGCCTTAGCTCTGGTTCTGTTTCCTGGCGTTCTACATGCTCGTCTTCAGTTCTCGGCTTCAGTTGTGAGGCTGAGACCTACGCCACAGCCATGGCTGCACAGGAGCTACGCTGGCTCACTTACCTGCTGACCGACTTGGGAGAGCGGCCTCGTTCTCCTCCAGTGCTGTACGTCGACAACAAGGCCGCCATTGCCTTGTGTCAGGAGCATAGACTAGAGCACAGAACGAAGCACATCGCTCTTCGTTACTTCCTTGCTCGAGAGTCACAGCAGCGTGGCCAACTTCATCTTGCTTACGTGGCCACTTGGACCAACACTGCTGATATATTCACCAATGCACTTCCGCCAGGTGATCATGAGCGTTTCTGTACTTTGTTAGGCCTTGTACCCACACTTCCCCACTTGCTATAGGCTTTGCTTGTACTGTGATTTATATATATATACATGCTTGCTTGCTCTGGTAGGTAGAGATAACTGTGTTGTTGTTGTGAACTGGCCTTGTGGCCTTTTGCTTGTGCTCGGACTGCGTGGTGACGTTGTGATCCACCCTGAGCTTGCTTTGCATTTCTTGACTGGTCTTGTGACCCTCTGTTCTCCCCCATT